AAAAAAAAAAAAAAAAAGAAGTCTGGTCTGGATGAGGGGAAGGGACCCAGCAGCCGTCCTGTCCTCTCTCACTGTATCTTCTTCCCTTGCAAAGTCATCCCCTTATTGACAGAGAGCTCTGGGGGAGCCTGGCTCCCCCCTGGCGAGGGGCCCCACTGGCCTCTTGGGTTGGCATGCAGAACCTTGAGATGGGTCAGGGCAGGACCTGGGGCTGTGCCTACAGTCTGTTGCCCTGCTCCAGGGGACAGGCCTGAGGCTTGGGCTTGGGATGGCTCCTCTGCCCAGGGCTGGGCTGGGCTTTCTGTGGTCAGAGCAGTAGGGCTGGCCCCCTCCAGGGTTCCCTAGGGGCTCTGTGTAGGGCAGACCACATAGGGAAGGGGAAGCCTGGATTTGTGGGGGTGCCTCAGGATGGGGGGTAGTGTAGGAAAAGGCCTGAGCCTCCTGGCCCATGTGGCTGTCCCCTTGTGGCCCAGAGGCCCCGCCCATGCTTTTTTTTTTTTTTTGAGACAGAGTCTCAAGCTGTTGTCCTGGGTAGAGTGCTACGGTGTCATAGCTCACAGCAACCTCCTACTCTGGCTTAAGCGATCCTCTTGTTTCAGTTTTTCTATTTTTAGTAGAGATTGGGGTCTCGCTTTTGCTCAGGCTGGTCTCTAACTTGTAAGCTCAAGCAATCCACTTGCCCTGGCCTCTCAGAGTGCTAGGATTATAGGTGTGAGCCACTGCACCTGGCCTTTTTTTTTTTTTCTTTTTTTGCAGTTTTTGGCTAGGATTGGGTTTGAACTTGCCACCTTTGGCACATGGGGCCAGTGCCCTACTCCTCTGAGCCACAGGTGCCGCCCCCTTTTTTCTTTTTGAGACAGTCTCACTTTGTCATTTGGGTAGAGTGCCATGGCGTCATTGCTCACAGCAACCTCAAATTCCTGGGCTCAAGCAATCCTCTTGCCTCAGCCTCCCGAGTAGTTGGGAATATAGGTGCCCACCACAACGCCCAGCTATTTTTTTTTTGGTAGAGATAGAGTCTCACTTTATCACCCTTGGTAGAGTGCTGTAGCATCACCCAGCCCACAGCAACCTCCAA